TTTACAGTGCACCCTTTGAGGACCATTTATAATATGTACATATTCCCCCCCTTGTCTTCTAGTACATAAGCATATACTATTGTAATTTTTGTTTTCATATATTATTGACGTTCAATATAGTCCACTAATTTTTTGTAAACAAAATTTACAATTTAATTGATCCATCCTTCTTCGTCAGTACACCGGCAAAATCCGGCAATCATTATCGCATTCGGGAAGATCGGGTGCGTCCAGTTTCAAAACTCAAAAAACTATGATATAAAGTACGAAATAATATATAATAATATAATATATAATATATATAATATAAAATACAACTAATTTTTTATAAAATTAATAAAAAAAATTTAATTTAATTTTTAAAACAAATTATAAGATGATTAAATTATCAGATTTTTTCCCTTTTTTTGACTATTATTTTTTTTCCCATATAACTTCAATAATTCATAGGAAACAATGTTATAAACTTAATTTATTATAAAATAATTTTAAAAATATTATAATTCAAATTTTATTAGTATATACTAATAATTATATTATATTATATATATTTATATTATAAACAGTGTTGAGCATTATCTAGATAAATTATCTAAATATCTTACTTAGATAATAAACAAAATTAATTATCATCGATTAATTTTTGAGTTGTCTAAAGTAATTCATCTAAATAAATAAATACAAGTATTTTAAAATTAAAAACTAATAAAAATTTAACATTAATGAAAATTGAATTCATATTATTAATTTATTCACTTTATAATTAATTATTATTATTTTAAAAGTTGTGTTACTGCAATATATGTTTAATTATATTATTAAAATTGTGCCTATAAATATTATTGTAAGAATTGATTTCATATTAAATAAAGACTATTCAATGTATACTTTCACATATGACTTGACACATGTGACTGATAAAAAATTTGATTCTTAAGAAAGAGAATTAAATAATACAGATAAAGATTAAATTGACTTTTTAATATTTTAATCATTAATATTGCTCCACAATATGTATTATATAAATTGTAATGAATTGTTTTATAAACATAAAATATACCAACAAAGAATGTATTATTTTTTTTTTAAAGTTCAGTACTCATTATTTATGACATATTCCTATACATAAAAGTACATACTATAAATATTTTTTGTTCATTATTAATATTTAAGATACCTAATTTATCAAAATTAATTTTAAAAATAAGTTTAATTTAATTTGTTAGTTATTCATTTATAAAAAAAATATAAATTATGTAATAAAATAAAAATAAATGTTTTTATTTTTTTATCCAGATAAATAGTGTTTTATCTTTTAACATTAACTGGATTTTAACTACTTATTATTTATCTTTATCTAGAAAGATTATTAATCAACTTTGCACAAAACTCATAAAAAATTTTAAATTTCCAATCGCTACCAAAATCACTTTATTTTTATTAACACAATATACTAAGATTTAGTTCTTATAATAATTTGGTTTTAAAATTATTTTAAAATCAATAAAAATGAAACATAGTACATTTATAATTGCCATTTATATTGCAAAAGATGCAGAAAAACATATTTTAATTATTCTTTATTTTCTAACTAAATTAAAAAATATAGGTCTAACATGTGTAAAGATAAACGAAAAAACAATGTATAATATATAGATATACACACGAAGACTTAATAAATATAAATTTTATTCATACAGTTTTTAACCATAAGAAATTTAATTTAACAACTTCTATTTAAAGATGTGTTTTGACATTCACATTACAAGAAACAAAGTAGAAAGTACTTATACTCACAGTAGATATCATAAATATTATTAAATGTCAAAATACAAAATGTGTTTTATAACTCGTTAGGGATTTAATTTAAAATATTACCCAAGAAACAAATACATATCACTGACATTTTTAACAAAAATAAAACAAAAAAATATTTATGATTTAATATACAAAAATATTACTAAAAAATTATAATTCTATACTTTAAAAACTTAATAATATTTGCTTAGTAATCTTCAATTATGTAATTATGAAGCAAATATTTTTGTATAACTTTAATCTTTTTTACATCGGTTAGTTTTGATAAACTATTAATGATCTAGGTTAAATTAAAATATTAAATTTTATATGAAAATGACAAATTTATGCTGAATATCTTTTCCAAAACAATCCATTATATATTGTATAACTATAAAACATTAAATCGTCGTGGGGATGACCTCGGCGGAGTTAGCGTGAAATTGGAATCGCAAACTCCGCCGCGATCA